AGGCATGCTCAAACTAGAGCGTAATCTAGAATCTCCTCTTCACTTCAAAGGTCCATAACTTCTTCAATTCAACTCCAATTCTCGATCCGTTTGTTTCCAGTCATCACAAATTCTCTCGCCAACATCATCTCTCATCCAAATATTATTTTTGAGCCTTATTCCCTGAAAACACAACAAAAATACCTATGATCCCGAAAAGTGCGTTTATGAAACAATTAAGTTAATTCATGCGAATTAATCCTAATTTCCCACAAATGATACCTATAAACCACTAAGTATAAGTTTATTTTCTTATCATGATATATTAAGGGATGATTGATTTTAAAAAGCATCTGTAGAGTCGCTTAAGTGATGTGGTGTATCGCTTAAGTGATCTAGTATATCACTTACTGGATCGCTTAAGTGATCCAGTATATCGCTTATGCAATCTGGTATAAATAAGCTTGATCGCTTAAGTGATCATATGTCATATACCTGATTGCTTAAGCGATATGCTGCCATATATTAGACTTAAAGAAGATCGCTTAAGCAATCTGCGATCTACTACATTATACGACATACCAGATCGCTTAAGCGAGCCATCAGATCCAGAACACATTTTCAGTCATCTCCTCTTACAATCGGTGCTACCACCCCCAGCTACCCATAATGCAAGAAAATATTCAACAAATTTCACTCCTTTCAACTTGCATTACATCAAACACAACCAAACAACCTAAACAACTAAATCAAAATCATAACCCAAGCCCAATCCATCATTAAATCTTTGTAAATCGAAATATAAAATGGAAAAGGGAGATACACATACCTAGATGAAATGCTAGGAGGAGGAGGAGGCGGATCTGTGGCGGAGAAGATGTTAATGGCGGAGGAAGAAGATAGTGTTAATGGTGGGAAGTAGAAGATGTACAAGAAGGAGGAAGAAGAAGATGTAGAGGAAGAAGAAGAAGAAGATGTAGAGGAAGAAGAAGAAGAAGATGCAGAGGAAGAAGAAGATGTAGATGAAGCTTAGAATAAACAGCAACCAGGGGAGGTATGTGTTAATGGTAGGAGGAAGAAGAAGAATATGTCATGTTTGGGTTTGTTTGCAAGAATTTCAGGTTTTTGGGGACATATTATAATTTTTAAAAAATTACACAATACTTCATTAATCCTAATTAAGCCATGATTAGTGTTTAATTGTTATTAGTTTGTCTTAATAAAAAAATAAGGCCATTTAGTAAAGACTAAAAAACTACATGGCCTTTTAATTAAATTCAACGCCAATATGGCCTTTTAATCATTTGCCCCCACAAAAACTTGTTAAACTATTTTTCAAATTTGGGTCAAATTATCATATTTCAAAGTTAGATGGTTAAAATATTTTAAAGTATTAAAATCTTGCAATTTAACCCATTCGGTCAATCAAATAAGCTCCCAAACGGTCTTCCAAATTGGATAGAAGCATTGCAAAATGCTCTGTTTACCTAGTCAATTGGATAGTCTATTTAGTTGATCGAACGTTACATGTGGTTGACCTATTGGTGGTTGGGGTTATAACAAATAGTTCCATGTCACATCTAGTCGACCAATTATGCTATGTGGTTGACTGAATGCCGCAACCTAGAAGTACATATTTTTGCATAACCGTTACTCTTTTAAGTCTTTTCTATATAAACTTTACCAAACTATATATTGAATCAACTTTTGGCATTCTAAACTTGCAAAAACATCATAGCAAAAGTGTTCAATCATTTTAGAAAGCTTCCAATCGTAATTTTCTTACTCTGATTCAAACCCTTGCTACAGCTTACACTTGTATCTTTGAAGATTGAGTTTCTCCGGGCTATACACTTGTTTATCCACTCTATTAAGAGTGTGTTGGTGTAAAAACCATTATATTCTCATATTGTAAAATAGTATATTACACTCTTGGGATTTATGATTTTCAAAGTAAGGAAAGTAAGTCCTAATGTGTAAGAAAGGTTTAATTGAACCTTGTGAAGCAATTGAGTGTTAAATGTTTAATAGAACCTGGAGGAAAATTATTTGAATTGGATTTGCTTAGTTGGATGATCAACCAAGGTCGATAATAGGAAGACTCCAAAGGAGATAGCTTAGAGGCGCGAATGTAGGCTAGATTGTATTGAACTACTATAGATAGATTGTGTTTGATTCTATCTTTCCTTGTCTTTTTCATTTGTGCAATTTTTTTCATATTTGTTCAATACTTATTTGCTTGAAATTGTTCACATTCGCATACACATTGCACTAGAAAAGACTAACCGTTACAAAGAGTATTAATTTGCCCATTTAACTAAAAAATGACCTTAAAAAATTAAAAAGGTTAACTCTCCACGTTTAGGCTTATTTTGATCCTCCAAACGATTCTTGATAACATATTACACTTCATAATTAATTGAGCTAAAAGGAAATGTAAAAGAAATTCGGAGGATAAAGCACGCTGTATCAAAATAGAAAAATAGAATGTTCTAATTCAAGAAGAATAATCTATTAATGAAACCTGCCCCATCACTTTGAATTATTAGCGCACACTTTAGTCTATGAAGATGTAATTATTGATATAATATCATCATCAAAACCTGAGCACGATTTGATGTACAGCTCTGCCATATGATCTCATTCATACTGGGAGAAATATTTAGAAAATATGTGGTGGTGGTACTGGTGGTGGTGGTGTTGGAAATTGATAATGGAATCTGTTGACTATTCATAAGGAGAAAATATATAATTTCAAAATTATACTTTCTTTTTATTTTAATAAGTTCAGTGCAAATTTCGAATATTAGATATAGGCAACCTTGGAAGATGAACTCATGTTGAAATAATTAAAAAAGAAAAAAATCCCCAGTCCCCATATCGCCGAGTTCTTGCTGTCATTGGATGTATAGTGTCGGCTTCTGAGTTTACAGAAATTCTTCAATTAGTTTTGTAAATTGCAAAGTTGTCTGAGAGAAAGCAGGAATTTACAAGAGTTTCATGTGCAAACTTTTTAACTTAAAAACTAAGTACACACTTTTGTCTACCCACGTGACTCTATTACAATAATAGAGTTTAGTGCAGGAGTAATATTATATATACATCATTTTCATATAATATTTCTCATACAACATTATGTGATAAGATATGATTGATTAATTTAAAGTTAAAATTAAACTTTCACCTAATCATATCTTGCCACATAATGTTATATGAGAAATGTTGTATGAGAATGATGTATATATAGTATTATTCTTAGTGCAGATAAATCAATCATATCATTTTTATTTGTTTTGTAAGCTTCTTATTAATTTAATATCTTTATCATATTCCAATTTTCAATGACAAAATTTGGACAGAAACACATGCATTGTTTTGTATTTTGATCCAATCCGAACGGTTATGATTGATGGGTTTTTGTCATATTTTAATTGTTAATAATTTCTAGATGAATTTTAGTTTGTTTTCATTCTATGGATCCAAATCTAGTTGCTTTGGAAACTCATTTGGATCAATAATTGTACAGAGATGTAATTTGTTAGAAAAATGAATTAAATTCTAACAAGTTTCTTGGAGTAGAAACATTGTTTTTTTTTTTTTGTTTTTTTTAAATATTGTTCCAATGTTGTCAAAAAATTGAATTTAATATTGTTCTATTGTTCAAATGTGAATGGGATTTGTGTTATCATTTTCGTATTTGACTGATGACTACAGTAATTATTTACATTCAGTACTGAAGTAATAGTTATCAACTTTTGAAAATTGTAAATATGAAATCGATAATGTATAAACAGTTTAGATAACTAGCAAATTGGTAAAACTATACTAAATCTTATAAGATTATTACATATAGGCCAAGTGTTTGAACTCTTATATATATATAATAAGGTTTTGGAGCATACAGAGATCGTTGAATGTGTCCACCGAACAGATTATGGTGACAGAGAATGGCCAAGTTAGAGATGATAGTTGATGGAACTCATGGAAGGATACATGTGCATTCTATAATACAAATTAAAGCTTAATTGTTGGTGTATTTTAATTTATATACACCATGTACAAAAAGGTGTGTTTTGTCTTCAATTATATTCGCCACTACTTCACTTACAAAACACAAAAACATAGTGTTAACATTTTATTTTTTCTTGAAGAATGGTAAATTATACAGCCACCGACGATAGTGCACCAAATTTGTGTATCGAATGACGTGGCAAAATCTTGACCGTTGATTAATTTTAACTTACTATTAATAAACGATCAGGATTTTATCACGTCATTCGGTGTACTACCGTCGGTGGCTATAGCATTACTCTTTGAAGAATATACAGTCTTTTTACAGGTAGAGCTAATTTAACTTTCCATTACTCCATAAAATATGTTGATAACGCTAATAATTAAAATATTAATTCAGTTCATAATTAATCAAGCATGAAATGTACCCTCACTTTGATTTAAAAAAATAAAAATAGGCGTGGATTAGATTGTTTGAGAATCATTCTTTCAAATATTTGTTTAGTCTAAAACAATGAAAAAAAGAAAAAACATATTACTATGAGCTTATCGAAAGCAATCCCAATCAAAAGTTATTTAGCTTTTGATAAATAAATATAAACGATAAAAACAAGCTAATGACACCTTTGTCTCTCAAAGTGTAAGGCAAAAACCTCGATATTCACAAGTAAATTAATAAACAGGAAATTAAATTATGAGTAGGAAAATGAATAATTAAATCTAAAATCTAAAATCATAACAAATTAAGTCTTGAGTCAAAGAAAGGCAAAGGCCTACATTGATATCAGTGTAAAACAGATCAAAATACATGTGTATCTAGCCTTTCCGCTTGCTAATTAATCTCTAATAATAATCTATTTCCTACCTAACTAATTGGGTAAGCTAGCTTACATAATTTAATAGCAATTGGAATTGATAACTAAATGATTGGAGCCAATGCTCACATGCATATAATTAGTTATACCTCCTCTGCACTGAATCCAATGCCATATTTTTTTTTTTTTTTTGTCTTTAGTAGGTTTATTGTCCACCACCAAAACCTCACTTGGATTTACAATACTATATTTTCTCTCTTTTTTGCTTTCGAACAAGCTAAACCCCAAGAAGCACATAATAGAGTATTGTTATGGGCAAGGCGATCAGCATTCCAAAAATAACCCTGCATAAATTCAAATGCACAAAAATTTTGGTTCATATTATTATTTTTATTGCATTATAGAATAATTCTCATATACATAAGTTAGAAAAGGAAGAAATTAACTTACGCAGTGCTAAGTATGTCTGGATGGACATTGTATTCCTTGGCAAATACAAAGGGAACAATACCTTGGGGAAGTGCGGCCTGGCAAGAAAAAATTAATTCACCAAATTATTTTATCATTTAAACGTGAATATTGAAAAATAAAGCCTATATATCATGCTATATGCTGCAAATTATTGAGTTGTCAAAGCACAATAATTATGTTATTAACTAGCATAAATGAAATGGGAAAGATTGGATTGATCTTATTAATGAAGACAGAAGTAAAAAGAAAAAAGAAAGAAAAACTTAACGAACTTTAATATAAAGAGCAATACCACTTTACAAAGGGAGTAATAGTAGCCCTTGGATTAAGGTTTTCAAGGGTTGACTATGTATTGATCCTAAGATTGTTATAAAGAGATGATGTTTCAGAATAAAATGTAAAAAAGTCAGTGGCTTTGACAAATCAATGCTCTTCTAAATTCTAACGCCATGAAAATAAATAATTTAGCTGAAATTAATTATTTACACGTAGAAGTTGGTTTTTGTATTGATAAACTACATATATAATTATTTGATATCAAATAATTAATAAATTTTTCAGCACAAACTAAGCTAGCGGATATGACATTAAGATGGTCAACCTGAACAATCGCAATATGAAGGAGAACACCTCGGAGACCAATAGCGATAGAGGTTGCAGCAATCACGGCGGGGCCTGTCAAAAATCTAACAGCCATTGCAAATGTTGCCACAGATTTTCCACAAGCTATGATCTTTGGTTGTAAAGCCATGAACAAACCTATTATTTATTAACCCAACGTCTAATTAATAAATGAATCAATTATTTTAAAAGTTAATTTAACGAGTCATCAAAGAAATGCACTTAATTACCTAGACTGAACATGGCCAATCCCAGACCTGCATCAGATAATATCGATATGGATCCTGACACAATAGTCGGCATTTGGATGTGCCACCTGCAAACAAATTTAATTGAAATCTTTGGGAAGGAATTCCTTGTACAAACTATAATTAATTTGTTGGATCAAATCCTTTAATTACCTGAATGATATAAGAGACCAAATGAGACCTAAAAGACTTGAATAGGTATTGGGATTTCTGATGAGCTTCCTCCAAACCATAATAAGTATGAGTCTAGTCATTACACTTGCAGGAGGCATCTGGTGCTTCTTTGCTCCTTCTCCTTCTTCCATTTCAATCTTCTTCTGACAATTACTGAACGGAGAACCACTTGCCGGAAACTTTGATCCATGTCCATCCTCTATTTCAACATCCCTGTTATCTCCATTGGCTTTTGTTGCAGGACTCATATTTTCAATTAACTGGTGCATAGCTGTATATATATATCCATTTGTAAAATAATATAATTTTTATATTTAAAAGAAAACAACTAAATCATAATCAGTGGCTTACCTTTAGAAGCAGCACTTTCATTTTGAAGAGCAGCTTTATTAGAAGAATCCAGGGCTCCCAAGTCAGTGGATGCAGTTCTATTAACAGCATGTCTAAGATTTCCTTCGGAAACTGGAGATGCACTTGAGCTCCACACAAACATGTGAAGCTCTTTATTAGGCATAGCTCCACTTCCTCCACCACTTTCCTTCTTCTTTGATGTACCTCCCGAAAACATTGGATTTGGAGGAGGGTATGAAGAAACCACACCTCCATTAAACAACTCACCACTCATACTTCTTCCTCCCCTTTTCTTCCCAATCTTAAACATCTCCTCATCGAAATTCGATGTCCTGGGTGTGGCTCCTTTCGACGATTGTAACGAATAAACATCACCAATACCCCCTTGAAAGCTATTTGTGTATCCATGCTTTGGACTCGGGGCTTTACTTGCAAACATTGCATAAAAATCGTTTTGGTTAAAACTTGAAGCCCTTGGTGTTGGCTCTCGCGAAGATTGTACTGAATAGATCTCAACACCAGTAAGATTTGATGCTCGCGGAGTCATCGATGTTAAAGAATTCAATCCATGAGACTTATTGAATGACGAAACCATTGATGATGCGCCGGATCTTCTCACCACCACGTGGAGTTTTCCATCATCACCGATCTCAGCATCGGCCTGCAATGGTTCACGTCCATTAAGAGAAACAACATCAGAATCAACCCGGAAAGAAGTGATAGAGCCAGCAGTCTCAGGGAACTGCTCAGTAATAAGTAGCTTTGCTCCTCTGTACTCGAACATAAAGAGCATGAGTGTGTACCAAATTACACTTTGCAAAACCACAATTTGGACCATTAAACTCCCAGAGAAATCTCCATACATAGCTTTCAAAAGTGGGATGCCCATCACAAGAGTGTTTGGAAGTGTAGAAAGAGAAAAGAGGGTGATCATCCACTCAAGGTTGCCATGTTTTGTAAAAGCTTGCCACAGGAAAAGAGCCGCAAGAATGACAACCTTTTGAAGACTATCAGCAGCGATGAAATGGTAGTTCATGGCATAAGGGTCATTTGAGGAAATGAAGTGAAAGGAGAGCAATGGAACGGCAAACACAGCAACAAAACGGTTGATGCCAGAACACTGATCTGGTGTGAAGATTTTCCACCAACGGACTGACCCATAAGCTAATATCATAGCAACATATAGGGGTACAATTGCCGCAAGAACATCGTAAATGTCCTTACCAGTAATCATGGCTAAATAACAAAGAAATTAATTGATTACACTTCAAAAGAGAGAGGAGAAAGAGAAAGAATTGAGTTTATAACTACTCAATTTGTGGTTGGAAGCATGTCCAAGAAAGAATGCTTATAATTCTAAGTTTCTATAATGAGAATAGGAGCATAGGGAAGTTTTGGATGGTTGTTTGTCCTCTTTTATAGAAGAGGTCTTACGTAGTTTTCACTCCGGGTAAAAATGAACACAAGAGGTTTAAGGGATTGTCATGAATAAGTGCCAGATGGCAGATGGGTTTTCGACAATGACAAAGAGCAAGGTTTTATTATATATACTACAGATCTTTACTGCTACCGCAGATCACTCAAAACTGCCTAACTCATGTGCGTGAACGAGCGCGGAGGCGAGCAGCAAGGTTTTTATTTATTTGCAATTACTTTATTAAATACATGTACAATCTAACTGGAATCTATCTACATAATTCAAGATATTCAACCTTTCTCTTGATTTTTTTTGTTTAAAGTAATCTGCAACGTTTATGTTTCATTGGACAAATCCTCTGTCTCTGCCTAAGCCACGTTCTTACTTCTCAAAATCAAAATATCTTTTGCTTTGGAGGAACAGATAAGGATGCAAAATTCGGACCCTATTCACGAACAACATATTTTTGTAACATACAATATTATAATTACTGACACCCAATAAGATACTTGTAAAGTTGAATTCGTAGAGAAATATGAGTTTATTATCCAATTTCAATTGTTTTTGTATTATGAAGACATTATTTACAAATGTATAGCAACTGATAAAATCGTTCGTGCCTATGTACAAGCTTAAGAATATTTAGGTTAATTTGAATGTAATTAGTTAAGTTGTAAAGTAATTTTTTTTGGTGCGTTTGGTGTAGTATTTTGGATAGGATTTTGAGGATAGTATTGGGTTGTTGGATATAGGAGTATTACGAGGTAAATTTTAAAAATTTATGAAAAAGCCCTTAGGTTTACTAATTTAATTAAAGGCCCTAATATATAAAATGATAAAAACACCCCCACCACCTGCAGTGCCAGATTCCAGCCACCACCGTCGGAATCTGGCCAAAAAATTTTGTTACTGCACAGATCGGTCGGATCTATGCCGTAACGCGTCATTATAGCCTTTTCCGGCCAGATCCACCACGGATCTAGCCGAAAAAGGCCAGATCTACGGCTTGTTATGGCCGTCGACGGCCGGAAAGGCCAAAACGATGGCCAAAGATGTGGCCGTCGTTTTTTATCAACGACAGCCATTTCTTTGGCCGTCGCTGACGGCCAGATTTGGCCTTTTCCAGCCAAATCCGTGGTGGATCTGGCCGGAAAAGGCTAGATCGGTGAAATTCCAGCCATTTATGGTAAGAATTTAGGCCGTTGTACAGATTCCGGCTATCACCGACGGTGGTTGCCGGAATCTGACAAGTTGGGTTGATGGGGGTGTTTTTATTAATTTTTAAATTTTTTTTCAAGGGGTATTTAGTGAAATTAATAACCTTATGGGGTCTAAAAGTAATTAAAAAATAGGGTAATATTTCTGAAATAATGTGCCAAACATTATTTGGAGAATAGGATTGAGAATATGGATAAAAATAGGGAGCCAAACGCACCCTTTAATTTGTACATCTAATATTATTCTTCTTTTTTTCTTCTATTTATTTGAAGAGTTGGGATGTTTTAACTTAAATTGATGACTTAAAATTATACTTCAACATCCAACTCTCTATTTCCATCCATCCAACGGTTAGCTTAACTAATGACATGGTATTAAAATTTAAACTTAAAATCTGAGGTGGCATTAAAATTAGTTTAAAAAAAGATGGTTTGGCATATTAAAAATCAAAACACACAACTCTGTTTACTCTTCTCTACAACGACAAGTCTACCACGGAAACTCTATTGCCATAGCTATAAGTTTCTACTCAAACCTATAGACGGTCTCTATTTATACGAATCAAATCTATGAATTCATCTCTATCAATCTGAATGTCTTCCCCATTGATTGCCTCAGTCCATTAATTAATTTCCATCAATTAATTTTCACCACTTCACTAATCTTCTAGTATATTCATCTTCATTCATTCTCTTTTGTTGTCTAAAATATTTCATCAATTTGTTGATAACAGTAAAATCTGAACCATGAGTTTCTTATGATATTGGTTAAAATTAGATTTTACGGGAAACAACTGTGAAATTATCAAGATTGAAAGATGAAAGGATTCAAAAGAAAATTAAATTTAAAAAAAATAATCAAGAAATTAGGTTTGGATCATACTTTGATTCAGATTGATAGAGATGAATTTGTAGCTTTGATTGGAAACTTGCAGTTATTGTAATGGAGTTCCCATGGTAGAGCAAAGTGTTGCAGATATTTTCAGTCAGTTTTAATGTCATGTTAGCAGTCATCCTAATCACCAGATGGATGGAAATAGAGGGTTGGATTTTGCAGTCTAGTTTTAAGTCATTAATTTAAGTTAAAAGATCTAAAGACAACATTTACTTTGGCTTAAGGAATCATTTCATATGACTTCTTCAAATATGAAAATGGTGCTTATAAAAGTGCGCTTATAATTGAGGTAGATTTAGAAAAACAAACAAACTATTGCAAATGTGAACAAGGAGTTGTTTGATTCATGATTTAAAAGTATTTTTAAAAATTAAGAATATAATCCAAAAATTTAAGTTGTTCTTTTAATATTTTTAAAATCTAAAATTATGTTTGATAAAATACTCAAAAAATACAAAAAAATTAAGATTAACATAAATATAATATATTTTAAAATAAAATATGATTGAGAGATCACAAATTATTTGTAAGAGTTTTTGTCAACTTATGAAGATATGTGTGTACATTTATTCCAATGTTTGCACATTAAGTAGTTTAAGCACAATCATATATGTAGTTTGCATATGTCCTAACATATTGGAAAAATGTACGCACATTTACTTGGTCTTGACATTTTGCAAATACGTGTGCACATTTTCTCCAGTTGTGTAAACATTTTCTTGATCTGATCTCTCAGTACAGGTGGCATTTTTATCTTACTTGTTAAGATATTTTCACTCATGAAATTTGCTTGAAAGGTCACTTTACAGGTGTTTGTCTGTCTTAAAGTGGTCCAACAAAGGTTGTTGAAATTGTCAGTGGTCCAACAAAGGTTGGTAGAGCTTGTCTACCACATGTATTGAAGAGATTGGTCAAGCAAGGATTATATATTTCCATCATCTTCTTCCTCACGTTTTTTAACCTAAATATTCCATTGTTTTGTTCTCTGAAATTCTTATAGAGTTTATTCATTTGGTCAAGTTTCTTTCATTGTTTATTGTTCAATACTTTGATGATCTTATCTTGTTGTTGAGTATTTGTTGGAATGTGGTTCCATTGGTGAAGCTTGAAGGAAGTTCAAGCTAATGAGCTGAGAAGTGTTTACCAATTGTCCAATTTCGAGTGGAGCTTGAGTCATCCAAGTTGGTACTTGGATCCAATTAGTTCGTAGCTGGGAGATTGTTCAATCAAGAGGATGAAGTTAAATTTGTAAACAAGAAGTTCTTAACTCTTTGATGTATTTAATTTCTATCTTCTTTTTGACATTTTTGCTTGATGCTAGTGGATTTGATTGAGTTGGACTTGGTCCCATGGATGTAGGCTAAGATGGTTTTTAGCCGAACCATGTAAAAATCTCTAGTGGGCTTTACATTATGTCTTATATGATCCTTCCAAAACAACAACAAACACAATCTAACCTATTTCGCAAAAGTTTAATGAATTCGATTAAGCAAACTTTCAATTGGGATTAGAGCCTGTTCTGAAGAGATATTTCAGTTGATCCAGTTTGTTTGATTGTGTTTGAGCTTTGTTTTGATCTACTATGTTTCTACTTACATGTGCATCTGATTGTATTTTTTCCATTTTGATATGATCTATTCCCTTTTTTTTTTCCTTTGTGTCCACATTGTCTTATGTTTTAAGATGAATTTCTTTAGTGAAGGAAAGTCTACTAACAAACTACCCGTGTTAGAAGGTCAATGCGTGCTTTTTTTTTTAATCCATTGATGAAAGGGTCTAAATCTCTGTTATTTATGGTTGGAAGCGCCGTAGTTTTTGAAGATGAGGTGTCTAAGCATAAACCCATAGATGAGTGGACCAACAATGAACTTGAGCTTGTTAACTTTAACTCTAAAGCTATACATGCCATCTTTAATGCTGTGAATGTTAATCAAATGAAAATTATTGCAACTTGTGAGATAGCTAAATATGCATGGGACAAGTTTCAAATTAAGAATGAGGGAACTGATGTGGCTAAGAAGAAAAGGCTTGGAGATTAGTCACTGATTTAGAAAATTTGACTATGCATGAAGATGAAACTATTAAAAAATTTCATGGTAGGATTTGTGATATTTCTAATGAATATTATCCTTGGGAAAAGTTTATTCTAATGTTGAACTTGTCAGGAAATTTTTGTGCTCACTGTCAAAGAGATTTTTGTCGAAGGAGACTTCCATTGAGGAATGTCGAGATATGGATGCAATGGATCTTGATGAGTTGATTAAATCACTCAGACTTACAAGCTAAATCTGAAAGGGTGGGATATGCAAAAATTAGGTAAAGGTCTTGCACTTAAGCATGAGGTTGATTCTAGTGTCTTTGAAAATGTTGAGGTAAATGATTTGAATGAAGAGAAATGTGCTTTACTCACAAAAAAACTTTGCCAAATTTTTGAGGAAGAACACGAAAAAACCAAATGTTACTAGAAAAGGTAAACAACCCTTCATGAAAAACAATTCTGATCAGTCTAGTCTGGTGTTTTTTCAAAAAGGTTTTCAAAAGAAAGTGAGAAGAAAAATAAAGGCATTAAGTCTTTTCAGTGTGAAGGATATGGACACATCCAAGCTAAATGTGCTAACACTTTAAAGAAAAAAGGTAAAGTGATGGTTGCTACCTTGAGTGAGAGTGATGAGGAAGAAAATGAAAATGGGGAGAATAAGTCAATTGAGAATGAAAACTTTTAGCCTTTACAGGTAATCAGGATGATAGTGAGAGTGCGTCATCAAATGATTCT